TATATATATACCATAATCATATAAAAAGATTTAGATAAGAAATTTTCATCTAATCATTAAAAAACTTTACTAATAAAACATAATAACTCAAAACAATCTATTAGATGGGTTCCCTTAAAATAATTTTAACATTTCAATTTATCATTCAACCAAAATTTTATAAGAAATTTTAGAATTTCTCTCTAAAAATTAATCACGAATTAACAAGTAAAAATTTTAAAACAAACTCTTAAAACAATTACGTCAATAATAGTCACAATATTCCTACTAGTATACAATTTGGTTTTGAAATTGAACCATTCCGAGGCTATAAAATCGTTCTCGGAGTCGACATCGCAAGATTTAGCTCTGCACAACTTCTCCGCTCACTTTCGAAAACGTATCCCCGACATGACCGCTATGAAGCTCGAGGGAATCGCAACGAGGCGATTTCGACTTCTCCGGCAGCTCGGAAAGCTCCTACGGTGCATCGAAGCCGCCGCCGCCCTCATCCTCCTCTCTCACGCGTCGATCCAAATCCCAGCCGCCGCTCGAAACTCCGGCGAATTCATTCGCCACACGGCCGCATTTCTTACCAGCCCCAGCTTCGTCTTCCTCTTATGCAACGCTATCGTCCTCGTCCTGCTTAAAACCGGCCACTTTTCATCCGAATCGGGCTCCACCGGAACCGGAATCGGCAAGATTTGCGGGGAGATGTCGTACTCCCCGCCGTTGATTTTCGGAAGCGCGGCAGCGGAGAAGAAGACAGCATGCGTGCAGAATCGCGCATACCGGCGGGGGTGGTCGGAGAAATTCGAGCGGGGGCGTGAGGAAGCAAAGCTTCGGCGAGCGGAGAGTGAGTGTTTTCGAAAAGGCGAAAAAGCGTGGTCAGCAGTGGCGCGCGAAAGAGAAGTTGTGGGTGCGGATGATAGAGTGGGGGCTGAGGAGGAACATTTGGACGCGGAGGAGTTTCGGCGAACAATAGAGGATTTTATTGCGAAGCAGCAGCGATTTCTAAGGCTCGAGTCGCAGTCGCTCGCTGTGGTGGCTAAATCCGAAGGAGTGGGACATCGGCTTCATGAATTTTAACGAGTAAAAGGATGTCTGTGTTTGCTAATTTTCATGTACATTTTGGATTGCACAGAGCTCCCGGGAAGGAGCATCTTTGTTTTTTTTCTTCTTATTTTTTTCCTTATATTTTCGTCAATAAAATGTTTTATAATCTCTTCAAGGATTATCATTTTAGTGAGCTCACTTGCCTTACGGTGAGTGATTTCGTAGGATCAAAGTGCCTGTTCTCACCATTCTCTTAAAAACTAAAAAATAAAAAATAATTATAAAAATAAAAATAAAAATAAAAATAAGAAAATCATCTTAAGTAAGAGTTTAATTATTCCAGTAGGAGACTCTTATTGTAAGATTTTATATAGATAAGGTGCATATGATCATATTTAAATTCACTCAAATGATATGTAAAATCTTAAATTAAAAAATTAATTTTTCAACTAGGTGATCCTGAATTTACAATTTTATATATATGATACACAACAACTCATTTATTTCATGTTAGCTTCGAAATAATTTGTGAATAGCATTTTTTTTTTTTGATTTAAATATATTTGTTCATTTGCTTCGGCACGAATTTAATTTAAATTATTTATAACATAATAATATTGAACGAGTTTTTAAGTAAAATTTACATAAAATTGTCCATCTTTTCAATGATGACGCACAATTTGAATTATTTTCATCAATTCACTACTTTTTATTTGTCATAATTGTTATGCAAAAAAATGCGGAAATGAAGAAATTCGAGGGTTAAGTTAATTCACCTACATCTACACGGAGCAAGATTTCAAGTCTGTTTGGGGTAGCTGTTGATTATTTATAATAAGCAGATTATTCTGATAATCTAATAATCTGCAGATTATCAGAATAAATTGACTTAATGTTTGAGGCAACTCATTCAGAACAGCTTACTGGGAGCTGTTGTTGAATCAATGACGATTCTGTCTCTGTTTGGTTAAACAGTTACCCAATACACACAGCATTATCACAGTGTTTTTAAATTGCTATGAGAATTCATATTGCTGAAAAAAATAAAAAATAAGGACACAAAAGAATTATGGGGTTCGGTCAAAGACCTACATCTACAGTAAGGTGTCGAACATGTTTTATTATGCAATTGTATAAGGTTACATAGCTATGAATCTCATGGGAGAAAAATACAACATTCTCTCAGTTGCCCCTATACAATCGGTTTTTCAAAACGGGAACGCGGACGCAGGTGTGGTACCTAAACGTCGGGCAAACGCTTTCTCCAAACGATGCAACAGTGTTTTCAAAACGCCGTTGCACCCCAATAAGCTGCCCCAAACGGGCCCTTCATTAGCATGGGATGGGAAGAAAGCAAAAAGCCAAGTTTGTGCACTTCTCGACATCTGACTCTCTCAAGGGCCTCAAGTTTCTTTTATAGAAGATGATTAGGCATATAAGTAAATAAAGTCAAAATATCAAATTACCTCTAATTACAAATAAATCATAAATACAATAATAATTAGTTCTCAAGTATGGCTGCATACATGGCTCAAAAGAGAGCGCAAATCATTAAATGGACGAAAACTGGTGAACACGGTCAATACTTTGGTCTCTTGTAAAGTCATGACGTGGCTTATTGAATTGACTCAAGGGCCCAAACTAATTTTGTTGAGGTGGAACTCTATTGGTATTTGATAAGTTCAGTCGGAATGAATCATCTTAATGTTTATCTACTATCAAACAAAGTTGCACTTTGATTTTTGGAAGATAAAGTTCAATTGAGGATGTCACAATCAAAATTAAAACTTCAACAGAAGACATTGCATACCTACCTCAGAAATCTTATTTATGTACATATTAAGAACTTAGACTTTCATATTTATGCGTATTACACTAAAATATTTGAGATTGTTTGGGTCATTTTAGGTTTTTTTTTATTATTGTTTTTATTTAAACAGTTGATTCTTTTACATCAGAATTCTTTTATTTAAAAAAATAAATTTATTTTTTTAACAAAATACTCCAAAACAAGTAATTTTTTTTTAGAGTGCTTTAAGAATAAATAAACATATCATACTTTATTTTAAGTAAGATATTAAAAAAAATAAAACAAAAATTATAAAATAAAGATTTAAAAGTGAATCCTAAATGGCCACTTAACATCATATCAAAAAATTATTGTTATTGACTTTTTAGAAGTAAAATATTTTTTTAAATTCATAAATTTATAATAGAAAAAATGTTATAAATATAAACGTTTATGTGTTCGATAATTAAATGCATAAAAATTGATTGGTACGAATGTAAAAAACTTGAGATGCATGATCTTTATTCTTATCATGCTCTCTGTTAATTAAACTGATCCCTCCATGGATAAAACTCCCAAAAAAATATTTTTTTAATGAATAATAGAAAATTATTTTAGAGAATAAAGTAATATCTAGTAATATATGATAAACTTTTAATTGAAAATATTATACTATATACTGTCGAAGGTCTTCTTGTATTCTATCAATCATTTAAAACAACAGTCCGATCTAAGTTGCACCCAATTGCGCTTGATGATCTTTACTCTCTTTTATTAATGTGAGAAAATAAATCTCACCACTGATACACACTGGATCATCACATAGTTGTTCATATGCAGAAAGGAAAGGGTCAACGAAACTACTCCATAGGTCGCATCCACAATTTTCATTTGAATCCCAAAGCCTCAGACAATCAACACAAATCTCCAATCTACAAACGAGTAACATGCTCTAGTGTGCATTGTCAAGTCTATAACGAACTTGGACAGATAACACCAAATCATTCGCAAAGACTCAAACCCAGTTTGGGGCGGCTTTTCTAGCGCGTCGCGGCAGGGGCTGCAACATTTCATCGATTAGGTTGACTTTCCACTCATGGTGACAATACACGTAGAGAAAAGCAGGCCGTGGGATCGACCCCGCGACCCGCTTTTATTCTCAAGATTTTTACGAGCATACCTCTCTTTCAACCCTGCATTCCTGTTTTTTGCTCTTTCTATTTCCCACGGAGCTTCTTCTTCTTCTACATTAATCCACGTGTGATCCACCTTAAAATTACTGTTTTTAGTGTACATTTCACGATCATTTTAAGTACATTTTTTATAATATTACACTTCAAAGAAATATATTTTTCATGTTTTTGGTTTTATGTACAAGAAATGGAGTTTTAGAGAAAATGAAGCAAAAACAGTACAATTTAGAGCCAAATTAAGCAAGGAAGAAAATTTTGACCTAGCACATTTCGATGTCTTTTTATGCTTAATCTAACTTACATTTATCACATATTTTTGAATGAAATTACACTTTAAAGTAAGTATATTTTCATGATTCTTTTGTAGGTATATTAGTCTGGGGCGAAATTGAGTTGAAACGTAGCAAAACGAGGAGGAACGGTGGAGTTGCACGCAGAATGGCGCTATAGAGCTACTATAGCGCCAGATATAGGTGCTATAGCACCGATTCTGGCGCTATAGCACCGCAAACAGTTTTTGGACAACTTTTGGTTGATTCTGGGCCATTTTAGACGTTTTGGAAGTTTCTAGACGTCTTGCATGCCCCTTGGAATGGTTAAATGAATCTAGACACTTGGAGTGGATTTTGAATGAAAAGATGTGTCTCTTGGAGTGAAATGGTGTGTCTTTTGGATGAATAGATGTGTATTATGGAGAAAGTAAGGGTTTATTCTTCTCTTTAAATAGAGAGGCTCTACGCCTCTCATAACAAGCAATTACGAGAGTCTAGAGAAGTAATTAGGAAGTGTTTTAAGAGAAGTTTGGTATTAGTTTATGGAGATGTAGATTTCTCCATTTTCTAGAGAGATTGATGAGGGATTTTGAGAGATGTGAGTAAGGAAGTATGAGCGACACATGGATCAGCAGGAGACTTTGTTGGAGAGATTTTTCTTCTTTCTTTCAGAGGGAAAAAGTTAAGTATTGTGTTTTTCATTTCCTTGTAATTATTGTAAACACTTACTGGTGGATTTTCTTTGATTTAAATGAAGTTTTCTGTTTTGTTTTATCCATGATTCGCGAGTAGCTTTCCTTACTCTTTTCTTTTAATATGAAGTTGTGGTATGTGTAGGAAAATTTATTTTATGATAGAATTATTTTTATTTTAATGTGATGAGTAATGTTTTTTTCTTCATTGACATAATTTAAGTGGCATAAAATTATGTTAAAATCTGTCGTAAGTAAAACTAAGGCTCGGGAGAGGAGTGATCTTGCAACTTGAGTGCACTCACATTGACCGATTCGCTAGTAAAACAGTTTAGGCAGCAATGCAACTTTTAAGAAAATATAATCTAATGATTAATTTCTATTAGATGCTTCTAGGTGATAGATAGTTGCATAAAATTAATCTAGTACTAAGCTTACATATACACTCAAAAGAGAGTAGGTAAACATATGTTCCTTGTTGGTACTTAATTTATTACTTAGTTCTATCAATCCTTTTACTGTCGTTATCATTATCTTCATTTTACTTTTCTCTTGCAATGAAATAGATGCATGTTCAGAAATTTAGATTTGCTTAGATATTCTCTTATTTTATTAATCTGATGGTATTTTCACCAGCTCTTAATTGATTTTACAAACTGATCACTTGTGAGGTTAAAATCCATTGAAAAACATAATGACCCGGGAGGGCTATGATTTCACCCAACTAGTGAGTACCACATTTTATCTTGTGTGGTCCATTGTGATCACCTGAGGGCAATGTAAATAGATAGGAGGATAAGTTTTGATGGGCGTAGAATTGATGTTTTTATGGTGACAAACTAGATTCTTCTATCAATTTGGTCTAGAGTTTTGATCATAGGAGTCCCTAGTAGGAAGGTATTTTGTGTTTTTCTTATTTCATCTACATGAGATGGAGTTTAAGAGAAAAAGGATAAAAAATGGAGAAAAATAGGGTCAAATGGAGCAGAGGAGCAAAAGATGACCTTGCGTCTAGGCATCACGTAGTTAAAATATGCTTTTAGAAAGTTGGTGATTAGGTGCCAAAAATGATTTGGAATTTTTTTTGTAATAAATTTGGAAGAATTTTGAAGGGGTACTTGAGGCGACTCTTGGTGATTTTAAGAGCTTTATTAAAGAAAAGACTAGCTAATCAAAGGTTGGACTTTGGAGAGCAT